GACTCTACCCCTGGGCGATGATGGTTGCGACGCTCCTAAAAATGTAAGTAGACCTCTTAATTAGTTTTTTGTGTATTGATCTACATTGAGAGGAAGATCCTTTTTGTAAAAATTGAATTCAATTTTCTATATTATTTTTTATAATAAAGTTGTTGTTGTTTTTAAAACTTGCCTATCTTGTCATCTTAGTACCTGATCCCCAGATACGCCAAAATAATTAATTTGCATTAAAACCAGGTAGTTAAAATAAATAATCAACAAATTACCGATGTAACATAAATGGTGAAGACACCGTTTCCAAATTGAGCGTGACAATACGTAGATATCTATTATTATCAGCGTTTCTAAACTTTTACATTGAACTAAAAAATTCCTTTATAAGTGAAAATCAGTTATACTATACATATAATTATGGTTGCTGATTTCCAACAAGACTGTGCGGATTTGCTTTAAAATCTATTCAGTTGTTGGAGAAGTTGTTACAATTTAGTAAATTGATGCTTTCTCTAGTTCACAGTAACGAATATAGCACAAAATCGTTTAAATTTCTGGTCTCGATTAATTTTATTACCAACCAAACCGATAAGGGTGTAACAAAAACAAGTGCTGAGTTTGCAGGAGGTGATAGAGCGCTATAAAACATGTAAATTAAGTGAATGTTTGTATGTCCGAAATTTTAACCGTTTACAAAAAAAGCGTAGTTGTACGGATAAATTTAATTCCGGCTCTGGTAAAGAAATACGGCCCGGATGGTGATTACAGTATCAGTGTAGTACTGGTTTTGTATTTTTTTTTGCTCATGTATTATTTATTTGTTAGATTCGGTTAAATGTTATTCAGGGTGTTTATGTTAACAGCCAACCTCTAGTAACCATTTATTATTTTAACGTTTAAACCTTTTCGTTTATGTATTGTAGCGACCACGAGCGTGATTGTGTGCGATCGGGCATACGTGTGTGTGAGCGGCTTATCGATTCGCCGACTAGCCGCGGGCGCCTTTCTTCATGTGCGCCGTATCTGTAAACGTGTGTGTCGTATCTGCGTTACGGGAAAGCAATTAAACCGTTCAAAGAAAACGAGACTTCTCTGGACGGCTGGAGAATGTTTCCGAAAGGAGGCAAGGGAGTATAAAAAGGAA